CTAAGCTCATTCTATGTGGAGTTTGCATGTTCTCCCTGTTTTTGTCCGTGCTCTGCTGGATAGGTTAATCAGTGTCTGCCCTCTGCTGCTGGGATAAACTTCAGGTTGCTGCAATCCTTATTAGGAGTGTACAGCTTTTTACTGATAGATGGAAATAAATATTTGCATAGTAGATATTTAAATGGAAACAGCAACAGGATGTCCAGAGAGAAGGCAAATGTTGAACATTAAGGCAAATCTTTAAGTGAAGAGGCTGCAGGTGTCCTCTGAGCCTGATTAATCAGCTGTTGTCAGGATTCTGACTAGCTAATACAAGAAGCCTTAATTAGTGTATTGAGAGGTATTTAGGTACTATCAATACATTATATATTGGAGAACATTAAGTATTGTGTTCCAGTTTCTTATATAAGGTAAAGATAAACTTTTAAGTCTTCCTCACTTTGAGATAAAAAAAAATCTGTTTATTTATGCAAAGGAAGGGATTGCTAAGGACTTCACTTAAGCAGTATAGAATAAGGCACGTACATTATTCCTTCTACATGTATTCCTTTTAAAATGCCAATATTGATTTTGTTTTCTGCAAATCTATTTTGGGATCACCAGCTTTATTTTTGGTTGGCAGGAGACTTGTCCAGCTGTGCGCGTTTGCCTCTGCTTGTGGAATCCTGATCATAATGCACTCCGGCTCAGCTGTCCTAGTATTCGAAGTGATTTTCATTAACGTTACAGTATTACAATGTAGTTTAGGGGTTAGCACTTCTACTGTTTATCTGCATGCCTAATATATTCATGTTTTGTATTAAATTTATTCATGGTCTGTATAGTGTGGTGTAATTAATGGGATATCAAACTGGAATTTATCTAGGTATATTCGATATGTAATACAGATCATATTTGTTGCACCAGCTGGCTGTGGTACTCTTTTTCAATAGCCAAACTGCTGTACAGAAGAACATGTGTTCATAATCATTCCAGAAAATCTTTATTTTACAGTTTTTTTTTTAGTTTGGCACAGAGAGAGGACCATTCAGCTCCATTTTATCTTACACAGTGTATCAGGGCCCAGAGAAGCAAGCCAGGACTTCCAGCTTAACAAATGCTGCATTATTTTTCAATTGTCAGAATGGAGGCTGTTTACTCTGTTTATTCATTACCAAGAGACTGGATCAAGGGCATTCAGATTTCCATTTTGTTTTGCTTGCTTCTGCATTTTGTAACTTAATCTGAAGGAATTCAGCATCAGATGATATCCATCAGGTGAATCTGAGCTTTTCCCCCCCCCAAAGACGTCAAACATTGAAGCAAGTCCTTTTAATCAAGTCACAGATGAAGAATAACTGCTTTTTTGGCAGAATTTATTTTTCAGAATCAGTCCCTTATACTTGTAATATACTATATTACATTCTCAATGGTTGACAATAATGAGTGACCATATCTTGAGTTGTCTTGCTCTCCAATCCGTCATGTTCAATTGAAACACACATATTTCCAGTAACCACAGAACAGTTTTTTAGCACTTTAATTCTGAGACATTCTCCTACTTAACATATTGCCATTCTTCAAGGACAAACTAAAACATTTATTTTTTTTATTGAAGATCCAAAAGAGGAAAAATGAAATTGTCAAATTTTTATTTCTGATATCCAGCATACTATAAAGTTTCTACCCTTATGTTTTAGGTGATTAAAAAATGATGAAAAGCAAATATAATACTATACAATTCATATGCACTACTGTACAGTTAGGGTTTTTCCTACAAGAGGGGCATAGTCTTTATGAAGCCAAAATATAAAAACTTTAAATTTAGGATTCTTCTGAAACAAGACTTATTCAAAAGTATAAATAATGCTTTATTTTACCCAGTGTTGAAACCTAATGTACTTGAAGGCTTGGTTATAATATGCTTTGTCCCAACTGCTTTTTTATGTTATTACAATCTATAAATATCAGATCTTTCATCTGAATCCAGGTTAGTCTTGAAAAAAGCCTGCTTACAATAATGTGAACAGCAGCTACAGCATTGCATTGATTGATGAGGATATGTTTGATTTGTTTTTGATTGTACCGATGTTTTTAGATATCAGATTATTTCTTGAGGGCAAATAAAAATTTTAAAAAAGGTGTGGTATCCTCATTCAAGTAATGTAAAACGCCAAAGTATTTTTGTGAGACTACAGCTACAGCAAATGTTAAAAGCAGTACTAAGTCTTGGGCACACCCTGGAAAAAACTATGTAATGTTGGAATGAAAATAATGGTGCAACATATTTATGCTACTTTTCCCTTTGGAACTTTTTGAATCATTCTTGACAGATGGTATATGTCTACTCTATCTTCTGTCTTTAAACATTTGACTAAAAAATCTCTATCCTGTAGGCTATTTTCTCTTTTGTCGTGTTGAAAGTAGTGTTTTTCATAGCAGGCACATTGTCTAATTATGAATCATTAAAACAAATCTGACTCTTGGTCTACTAGTTACAGATACTCTAGTTGTCCTTGATTTCAGTCTGGTTGGAAAGACATTTTTCACACTGGTGCTTTGTTAAAAAATGAACAGGAACATTGCAGAAGGCAGTTTGGAAGTCTATAGGTCTATAGAAACCCTGTCCAGTTCTGACTGACATGGGCCAGTGTGTCTGCAATTTTTTCTCGGTCTTCTTAAAGCACCTACAGCTAAGGAGCTTGGAAAAGTTTGGAAATAGGTCCAGTTAACCCAATGGAGAGATAATATACATTGGTAAAAGCTGTATTGAAATTGAATCCTGCTGATACAGTGACCTTTCATGAATAAGAAGTCTAGGAGATCTGTCTGTACATATTCCAAGAAGGAATGAAGAGAATTGAAATATTCTAAAATCTGTCAATAAAGACACATACACTTCGCACCCTAAAGCATGTTTTAATATCCAATTTACTGTAAAGCAATTGCTATATGTGCGTGATGAAGAAGTTAAACTGCCTAAAACCACAGGGGAGAAACCACAGTGCCTTCCCAGAGGTTATTTTCTCAAGATAAACAAGAACAATTTCCTCAGTCTGTCTTACCTTGTGTGTCCGTGCCACATTGATTTTAAATTTAACATGTTCCCTTGTTTTCTTCAGTCTGAGGATTTTGGGTTTCTCAGATTATGCTCTGATTATTGTTTTGGATTAGTCTGTGCCTTTGTACTATGAAGTTTCAGTATCAGATTTAACTTATTTCCTTAGTTATTAAAGCCAGATGTCTGAGTTTTTTGTTGCTGCATCATCCTAGGTCCTTCTGCGTAACAATGATGTCGGTCTGGCAATGCACATATGACATGGTGTTGTGTGGTTAGGTGATTATATGTTGATTGGTTTTGTGTACTTAGAAAAGCAGAAAAACTGTTGTTTGATACACAAGACACTATGCTTTTGACAAATGTACATGCGTCGCTATCCATGTCCTCTTCAGTTATTCCATTCTTTTTTTACAGGACATGTAAAGTAAGTTATTATGATTTTGTCTAACTTGTTAATCCTATCTGTGAAATGCAATTTTGTTTTGAAAATGTATTGTGGAGGAAGAGCTAACAGGATATATATATACTGGCTTCAGGCAGTGTGTTTGAATGATCTGTGCCTGTAGTGTTACAGTAGATCATTGTTATAAGTGCTGAAGGGTACAGTATGATAATTTACTGGAATGAAGATAACTGTAATACATGTACAATGATTTCCTGTAAATTCCCACATTTGATGTAAGAGTTAAATGCTTTTAACTTTCATTTTTTTCCATCTTTCCTTTTAATTCCATTAGTTTGTTTTGTTCTATTTCTGGAAGACACTAATGTGTCTGTAACAATAATGTTATTGGGACTGTTCAATAGAAACATTTGACTGTTTCTTCTATTTTTTTCTTCAGATTAATTCTAGTATTGTGAAATCCGTGTTCTGTTGGGATGATTGTTCGATTTCACCCTCTCACACTCTCTCTGCTCTTCTGACTTCTGTAGCTCTAACCAGAAAGATTTTCACAAATCAGGTGATGCAGGCCGAAAAGTCAAACAACTTCATTCTTTTTAATAATTAATCATTCTTATCTTGGTCATAAGGTCAGAATAAACTAGCCACGTAACACTATTGCTTCAGGCAGTGACCATGTCTTGAGTTGTCTTCTCCAATGCGTCATGTTCAATTGAAACAAGGGCATTTCACACATATTATTTCCAGTTACCACAGAACAGCCTTTTAGCACTTATACAGTTTTAAAACCTATACAGTGTAAGTGAAGGGGCATAAAAATGACAGTGTTGTTGTACATTAGCAAATCATTCTCTGTCTGCCCTTTGTACATCCTGGTGCGGTGGCTATGGCGGTGTGGTGGCTCTGTGGCTAAGGATCTGCCCCTGTGGCTGGAAGGTTGCTGGTTTGTATCCCACGGCCGGCAGAGGAATCCTACTCTGTTGGGCCCCATGAGCAAGGCCCTTAACCCCAACTGCTCCAGGGGCGCCGTATAAGTAGCTACTATGTCTGTGTGTCTCATGGTGAGCAAGCTGGGGTATGCGAAAAGACAAATTCCTAATACAAGAAATTGTATATGGCCAATAAAGTGATCTTATCCTAATGCTAGATACGTGAGTACTTACGTATTCTTAGTTTCTATCAAGGTCTTTGTTGCTCATGTTGAGTTAGTACCTTTTTTAAAACTTAAATCAAGGGTGTGCAAATGCCTGCCAGACTTTGTATTCTTTTAATTTTGAATTTCACAGGTAGCAAAGTTGAGTGAGAAGAATGTTCGTTGGCGAATTCCTTTGTCTTTGTCGCTTTCCTTTATTGCACAGTAAGATTTTTGAAAAATGGCAGCAGTGTCTCACAGAAAATATTTCAGTTCATGAAATTTGTTTGGGATGTGTAGAGATGAGGTTTTGTAAAAAAAAAAAGAAAAACGTAGGCCCCTCCTTTTGGGGTTTTCTTTGGCAGTATGTCTACCTGTAAGCCAACTACAATGAAGCTCTCTTTGTTTCGTTTGTTTACCTGTAGACTTGGATGAAAGCGAATCGCTCTTCAGTGTGAAGATCATCTTGCTGCCTGTGGCAAGCCTTCCACTCAGCTGCCATGCCACCACCGGCTGACATAGTGAAGGTGGCCATTGAGTGGCCTGGGGCCTTCCCCAAGCTCATGGAAATCGACCAGGTGAGAGAACTGGGGGGCGTTAATTTGCATGTTCATTTATTTTCATGAACAAAATCTTGCACGGCCTGTGGCATGCTGGGAAGCTGTGATGTCATCAGTGTGGGCCGGGCACAGAGGAAGAGCTTGAGGAGACAGTGTTGTTGTTGCCGAGTCACCTCTCAAACACCAGGCAAATATACAGTAGATTAAAGCAAAGACTAGGCTGGTCTGTACTTGGTTGAGGTCTTTCAGACCTATTTGAAAAATCTAGGGCACTCATTGTAATGTTTTGACCTTCTAGTCAAAGGAACATTTACTTTTTTAAAAACTGCATTTATATAATTGCCTATTTTTTATCATCTCCAGATGAAGAGGTGTTTTGACTTATTTTAAGCATTTGACTATTTTTTATGGGCCATCATATCTGTTTCTTGGCTTGTGTTTGGTAAAAGAACAGAATTTGTCACACGTTCTTTGCTCTATTTGCTTATCGACGTCAAGTCAATACTTTGTCTTAATTCATTTTAATATAATTCCATTGGTCTGCACCTCACTATTCCTGGATGTACATTTAATTCATAACTGAAATCTGAGTTGTTTTTTGTCATCAGTGATTGATAGCTTTATAGTGCAGGGGGTATTTCTTTGTTTTATCATCATGTTTATTATGTCCCATTAAAATAATGCAGTAGTAACTCAATTATTTGAGGATCCCTCTAAGCCGAAGCCTGCACAGTTAAGCATTCGACATTGCAATCTCCTTTTTAACAAAATATCTGGAAGCTCATTTTGAGATGACAAAGATATTGTTCAATATACAGTATTATAAATACTTACAGTGGGCTAATCATTCTGTTCAAACGTATATTGTAGGTGTTTCTTTGGATTGTGCCTTGCAGACAACAACATTTGCTACTTAACTTATGTATTATTCAAATTGCAACAGGAATATTAATGATGTATAATTAAGCCTTGTGGGAATGTTGTTTTTTCCTTCACAGTGTTTTTTCCTTCATCCCTTTTTTAATACATGTAAAAAATGCAAAATATGTGATCTAGTAGAACTTTTGTAGTTTCGAAGTGAGCTTTTTTTTGTTGCCAGTCAGTTTTTTTTTTTGACAGCTTCTTTAGCTTGCCTATCATTACAGCCTTCAGGCAGCTATCTGTGTGGTCAAAAATATCCCCATTGCTACTCCCTGCTGTTTGGCTTTCTGAAAAGCTTTTGAGATTTCAAGGGGAACCAGAGAATCAGCAGTCTAGTGTTTTCCCTCTGTTCTTGCACTCTTAGTGGCATCAAAAAGGATGTCCTTTCTCAGAAGTCATCTACAGTTCCAGTTTATTCGCTGAAGGGGCTCTCTGTTTTCAGAAGCCTTTTTTTTCTTTCTATTGCTCATACATCAGAATCAAAATAGGTGTCAAGTGCAAGTTGTTGAATGCCTCCATTTTCTTTAAACGTAAAGGGCTACAGGGTAATTTGAGTGGTGCAGTCTCCTCAGTAATTAAAGGAACTTTGCCTTAAACGTTGGGTACAGCTAACTTTGGGCTGTTTTTCACTCTACAGAAAAAGCCCCTATCATCTATTATAAAAGAAGTGTGCGATGGGTGAGTAATTTATGGGGTTCCATCTTTTTGTTATTTAATAAATAGGTCGCGGTTTTTGACAAAGTTTATTTTTTCTTTTCAATATTATCCAGCTAGGGATGCTGTTAATAAACCCGTGGTACTGTATACACTGTAGATATTTTTTTCAATACAGATTGTTGCACTTCTTAAACTTTAAAAGGAACTGGGTCTGTACGATATCTGTGCAATTTTAAAAATGTATGACCTGTTATAATGATTATATTGTACAACACTATACACGATACACTAGACAAGGTTTATAAGCCTGTTAACTCACAAATTTCAAGACACTTGGAACAATTTCATTTTAAACCCTTGGTCAGGTAATTTGTGAAATTATTAACAAATGTAGCTCTCAGAGATCACTCAGCACTTAATGTCTTAATTGAACCAACTAATTCATCAAAGATAAGGTGTCCACGCTTTTAAAACTTGAGGATTTACTGTGTCCTGTAAGAGTTGCTGGACTGTGGCTGTCCAGGACCAGTTTTGGCTATCCCTTTCCAGAGGTGGCTGTGAACCTCAGAACAAGGCATTTGATCTAGACATTGACCAGCTCAATTGATAGCTCACCTTCGTACTTTTTAAGTGTACAATTCACTCCTGATGATTACCAGCACAGGAGATGACCCTGATCCTCAGACATTTTTCCTTTAACCCAGATTTGTGTATCGTATTCTGCTGCTGGTACAGATTGTGTGATCTCTTGAGGAACGAGGAGTAACCTCGGTGTCATATACAACTCTGTTTGCACACTAAATCTGCTGCGCCTGACTTCCTCTTAAATACCCAGATAGATTTTATGATAAAATCCTGTTCCTGACCCTCTTTTGATGTTTATGCTGAAAAGCACACTGAACCTTCTAACACAGGTGGCCTTGCTGTACTGTACTGGGATGGGCTCATATAGAACAGTTACATAAAATGTGACTCAATCAGGAGCTATACATCGAAGCTCAATTAAATGAGTGGAAATTTCTGCAGACTGCTCCTATTCTGTCAATTCCGTTTGTTTTATATTTCATCGACAGTTGAACTATTGGCACAGTTCCCAAATAAACCTGTCTGCACAATGAAGTGAACTGCTTAAACTGCTGCTCTTCACTAAAAACGCGTGGCTAAATCTCTAGTGTTCACTCATGTGGCTCATTATGGGTTTTGGATGCTAGTGTAAAAATCTCTTTGAAATGCAGATCAGTGCCCATCTTATACATTTCGAGCAGTTTAGGATAAATGCCCAGTCTTTTGTGAGCATTGTGCTTTCTCCTGTGTTCAAAGAGCCAAACTGTGTGGAGAGCACAGACCTGCGCATACATTATACTACTTTTAACTGCAAGAGCATTCACTATAAAAAACAGAAATTCAGGTGTCATCTGAAATTGTTGCTAATATCTCTGATTTCTCCCTTTGATTTTATTAAGATTATGTACATAATCCTGACAATGAATTTATGTTTCTCAGGTGGTCACTGGGTAACCATGAAAACTTTGCTCTGCAACATGCAGATACAACCAACTTTTATATCACTGAAAAGGTAAGCTTTTCAGCTTTTCATGGCTTGTTCATTATTTTAAAAGGTAAGCTTTTCAGTGTCCTCTCAGGTGAACTAAATAAACGTTTTGCTGTGTTTATAACTGCAGATTAAGTTTATATTACTTATTAGTGCCAAATCTAAATGCAAAATTCATAATTGATCACTTTTACATTCATTTCCACTGGATGCCACCCTTACTCATTAATTACTTTAATTTAGTTAGCATCTTATTTTCACTTTGTAGAAGTGGCTTTGTAGCTTCTTTTCTAGTCTGTGGTATTCTTTGGCATGATTTTCTAAACTGTATCTTCAAGCCAGACCCTATATTCCAGTTATTAAAAAGAAATGTTCTTGAGTTTTATTTTTAATGTTGTAGTAGACATCCCTCAGGGCCTGCGAGGATTATCTCATTGCACTGTACTGTATGTCTGATAATTTCATCAAGTGACAAATTGCTAAATCGCAAACCAATAAAATATGAACTGAAATGTCCCCAGAGGTCTGTTCTGGCTTGAGCAAAACTCTTAATAGTAATTTGGGAGAAAAAAAACGGGTTGAATGAACAGGAAGAAAGAATATTACAGAGGACATATCCACTGTAATAGAAAGGATGAATCTCCCTCTCGTTGCCTTATAAATGGCTTTCAGAGTCAATTTTGTATACACAAAATTGCTAATTAAGAAGTTAATGATGTATTTGCATGTTGCTTAGACATTGGCTATTAGATCCGTTAGAGAATGATTATGATGGAACCAAAGTTGCTGAAGGAAAGATTCTGATTTTCCATCTGCATCTGCTCCTCACATTATTTAAGGGAGCTTTTGTCCTGTACCAGTGCAATGTGATTGAGGATGCTGAATAGAATGCTGTTCATTAAATTATACTGATTATGCTACATATAGTTCATATGAATTAACTGCTGATTAATACGAATCCTTGAAGAAACAGCTTGATAACTTTCTCAGATTCACAAGCTAGTAGCTTCAGGATATTAACAAACTGTGAAACATTTTAATACCCCTGAGACAAAAGCTACTTCTCTGGCTTGTGACAAAATAGTATTTGGTGAATGATAAGCGTTATGATTTCTGCCACTGATGTACATGAATGAATAATACTTTGTTGTTTTTTTTTCAGAATCGCAATGAAATAAAAAATGGAGCAATTCTGCGTTTGACTACATCTCCTGTGAGTGCTGCTTTTGTTTGATTACTATAAAAGCCCTATACTCTGAATACCCTAACTATTCTGTTATTCCAGATTTAAATATACATTTTTAATTTCCACATATGTGCATGTATGCAGAGCCCTGAGAATCATGAACTGACTTCATATTTTGTTTCCATGTAACAGATTGAGTCATAACCGTAGTTCGTATGTTTATCTCTGATTGAATGCAAAGAACACAGCTTGCAGGCAGATGGATTATAATAGAAAAATCACGTGGGCTTTCATTTTTGTTGATATAACAACAACAAGGGTTTGCCACATGGTTGGTAGGTTTCTCGAATTTTATCAGGTGCAAATAATGCTTCTCCAAAGCTGTTTTTGGTAGAATTAAATGATAAAGTAAAAGTACTTTTTAGGTTCTGTTTCTAAACAAAATCAGTGCAGTCTTTTGTATTAATGCATTTCTTTTCCATTAATTACCAAAAATGGCCAACATGTTGACACAGGGCTTAGCATTGCTGCCTTGTAGCATCGGGGTCCTGGGTTCAATTCCTGGGGTTCTATCTTGATAGAGTTTGTATGTTTTCCCTGTCTTTGCTTGGGTTGCCTCTAGGAGCTCCATTTTCCTTCCACCTTTTTTTGTGTGTTAAAATGCAAAGCAAATTTAGTGCCACCTTATTTTGTACATGTACGATATGTGAGGTTTTGCATGAAGCAAAAGACGACTCGCCGCCTGTATGCAGCAATAGAGTTTTAGAAATACTCCACTACCCCTGAGTAAATTAATTTAATTTTAAAAAATGCATTTTATATTAATTACAGAATTTATCCAAAGACTGTATTTAGGTCAAATGGAGTCCTTGGATAGTTATTCTTTAACATGTTCAAAGATCGTGTAATCTGTACCCCATGAACCATTCTGACCCTATGGAAGAATTTACGTACTTTTAAACACCAAAGTAAACAGAATGGGAAAAATGTTACCACAGGACAGACTAATTAGGACAATTTTTTTTAAAAGCTAAGGCATTGAGACATTTTTGTTATGTATATTTGCATATATACACACTTTACTGTCCTTCTTATTAGAATTTACCATTGGTGTTCAATTTAAATTAGGTCATGATGCATGAAATATCCTTAGGTAAGATAAGTGTGCTGATATTAATTCACATGACGGCATAAAAAAATATTTACTGAAAAGTAACATGCAATAATATATATATATACATATGATATTTTTCTAATTTAGGTTTGATTGTGTGGTTTGTAGCATGGGGCTGGATTATTGCTGATCCCTCCATTCTTTTCTAGGAAACTGAGGTGTTTTAAGCAGTCATGCTAACTATGTTTTTATATGTTAATTTCCTTAGTCATATCTGTACTTTTAATGATCATTTCAATTGAAATCTTACAAATCTCAGAATTTACCTTTTAATTAAAATGTCTTGTTCTCTCCTTGGTTGTTGATGTGGTTGTTAGATATCCCTTTACAGTATTTGTAAGGGTTTTTCATCTGTTCACCTTAGTACTTTGTTCTCGATAAATGTTTATAGAAGGGCATTCTAAACATTCAGAGATGAAGAATTAGTTTTAATAGCACATTTAGACAATATTTAGAATCATTTTAACGTGTCCAAGAAATTGAAAGGTAAGCACCTTTTGTTTTAAATTAATTTCTAAGATGGAGTAAAAAATATTCTGCTAATGTTCTAATCTTATTTTTTGACATAACCCTTGATAATATAAGAAGTGATTCTGATGTGAAATATTTAACTTGTAAATCCATTGTAAGAGAAAGCAATGCATGGAGTTGAATTACTTGGAAAGAGAACATCCTGCTCTACTGTGTGGTTTCAGTGTTACAGGGCTGTGTTACTTGAGACTTAATGACAACATTACTGTAAAATAATTAGATAATACCAACTTTTTTCATGCATGTTAAAGTTTATAAAAAAAAAACTTAGTTAAGAAGCAATTACTTACAGCATCCTGATTAGTATCTCTTATTTGCTAATGATTTCTATAGCATGCTTAGGAGCTATTGACTACAATTCCTAATTTCAATATGCGGTAATTATACATTTAATTCTTTATGTAATTGAGTGGCTATACTTTGACAAGACCCGAGGTGGGATTTGTTTTGTTGTCCTTCCTGTGTAATGTTGTCCTCCAGACATCAGGTAGCATCCAATCAAGAACACAAGCTAGGATACTGCAGGCAAAAACACAAATTATATTCTCCGCCTTATGTAAAAAAAAAAAGAGAACATACTTTTTAATAACCTTCTTCTCAGTGAAAAGAAAAAAATATGGTACTATATAGGTTATAAAAGGGGTGGCATAGTGGTAGCATTGCTGTTTTGCAGTGCTGGGGCCCTGGGTTCAATTCCTCTGTGCAGAGGTTATATTTTCACCCCACGTTTGAGTGGGTTTCCTCTGGGTGCTCTGGTTTTGTCCCGTAGTCCAAAACCAGACCCAGTGGTAGGGGAATTGGCTTCAGGGAAGATAGACCTTGATGTGAGTGTGTTTATGTCTGTGTGCTGATGGACACAGATGGACTGGTGTCCTGTTCAGGGTGTATCCTGCCTTGCCTCTCCTGCTGGGTGAAGGCCTGTTGCTTGCTGGGATAGGCTCCGGCTTCCCTGCAACCCTGTATTGGATAAAGTGGTTAGAAAACAGATGCATGGAGTTTGGTGTTAAATATAGGTGATTGCCAACAACAAGCGGCGTGTTGGTGTAATGGGTTAGACATGTGCCTTGCATGCTGGAGGTCGGGAGTTCGAACCCAGCTGTCACCATGAGTTTTCTTTGCGGGGCGGGGCAATAGCACTGTGACTAAGGTGGCTGGAATGCTGCCAGTTCAAATCCCATGGCCGGCAGAGGAACCCTACTCCGTTGGGCCCCTGAGCAAGGCCCTTTAACCCCAACTGGTCCAGGGGTGCCGTATAAATGGCTGACCCTGCGCTCTGACCCCAAGCTTCTCTCCTCGCCTGTGTGTCTGTGCGTCTCATGGAGAGCAAGTTGGGGTATGCGAAAAGACAAATTCCTTATACAAGAAATTGTACATGGCCAATGAAGTGATCTTATCTACATGTTATCCCTTGTGGATGAATGAAAGTATTCCATTTTCTGTTAAAACAGCACCTGTTGTAATGCTTATGTCATCACTGATACAGACTACTTAATTGATCTAATCAGTGCTAATTTAAATAGTGAGAAAACTTCATCCTCTCATTCCAAGAAGATTCTGCGAACATCAAGCTCAACATTTCTGTAATGAGAACACTGAGGGGGATGTTTCAGGGTTGGCCATTCAAGGTATTTCTAGAATTATGCAGCTGTTTCCATCAGCGTTTCGGATTAGAAAAGCAGACCCCTTGCTACAATGATCCCTGGAATAAAGTCAACTTCGCCTCGCGGGTGGAGAACCGCTAGCCCTTGCTGACTTGCTCTTCTCTGTGTCGCTGCTGTGATTTTCAAGGCTCAAACCGCACAGCAGCTGCACGAGAGGATACAGTCCTCCAGCATGGACGCCAAACTGGAGGCCCTCAAGGACCTGGCCACTTCGTCCCGTGACATCACCTTCGCCCAGGAGTTCATCAACCTGGACGGCATCTCTCTGCTCACTCAGATGGTGGAGAGCGGAACAGAGTAAGTCCAGGCTTCTGTGATTCTATGGGCAGTGAGAATAGAGGATCTCGGGGAAGAGCTCAGTGTTTTCATATTGCTGAGTTGCCCAGAACGATTGGAGGAGGGGAACAAAATATATTTTGGAAGATTTTCCCTCCTCCCTTCCTTTGGTCTCCGTAAAAGTATTAGATTAAAGGTACGGTGATCATTTAAAAAAGGATGAAAGGGTGGAGAGCAGTAGATGTGTATTTTCGTAGACAATTTAAATGATTGCATTTGAGCCTTTGTGATAAACTGGTGTCTCGCCCAGGACATGTCCTGCCTTGCACTCACTGTCTGCAGGGATAGGCTCTTGTATCTAGATACTGTGTTGGACTAAAAGGTTATTCGGAAAGGCTGGATGGATGTTTGAGCTAATCCACAGTTTAAGTCTTCTCTCCAGTACATGAAAAAGGAATCTTGTTGCTTGGAAACACCAGGCATCAGTTTCCTCTTTTTTTTTAACACTACCAGGTATGACAAATAGAATGGTTATTTTTGGATAGACTTGGATTATTAAAAGACATTTACTGGAGTACTGCAGCCTTTTCAAATCAATTTTGAAAACCTAGTGGGTCACGTACATTTTCAGGTGAGTTCTGTCAGCAGGCAGAAGGTTAAGAGGAAGATTAATTTTTGATCACCATTCAAGTCAAGTGTGACAATCTGAGTACGTAAGCATAGAGCATAGGGAGGAACATTTTAAAGAAAAAAATTTAAGTGCTTAAAGCCATGTTTCACAATTGTGGAGAGTTTACTAATGCATCGTGGTTAACACCATTCCTTTTACCTGCAATATTGAAAATGTTAAAAAGGGACGTGATATTATTACTCTGTGCAAGAACTGTAATTGTGTGCTTAGCCATAACTCACAAAGTAAAGCAGAATTTTTTATTTGTGATTAAAGAAATGCAGTGTGAATCAACAGATGCTAACTTCCTCTTAAGAAGAATCCAGATAATAATGGTAGGATTCTTCAATGGAATAGTGGGCAATAAGGTTGAAATTTTGATGGCAGTTGGAGTTGATGGCAGAAATGTGCTGTAAGGTGTGTTTGCCTTCAGCTCATCACTTCAGTATAATGTTTGAGCTGCCATTATACAGTAAATGGTTTTGCAAGCAGAGGTAAGTAAAGCAGTAAATGAAGTAAATGTCCTAGAAAGTTCTAGAATAATTCTAGAATTCCCGAGCAGATTAAAAGTACATAGCAGCACATAGAAACTATACAGTTTTGTATTATTAAAAACCAAAACAGTTGAATAATTTAGCATATGCTTTGAAGCAAAGTGACTTAGAAGACATTTGTGACATAGCACCTTGTCTAAACAAGTCCTTTTACTTTTTTTTATAATTCACTAATTATTTCAAAGTAAACCATATTATGACATTCAAATCTCAAAGTATTATGCAGTCCATTGGATATTCTTGATCGAAAATTTGAAGAAAATCAATGATTTGAACAATTCAAATATTCTTAGTGTATTTCAGTAATGGATAATAGACACAATGGATGAAAAAAATAAAAAACACTTGAACCATAATTTAATTTGACAGATTTACTAAATACTTCAGATTAGATTATCTGTTTCCCTCAGATATCATAATTTGTGTTCAGAAAATAAAGACTGATTAAATTCTGATCCTAAACAAACTAATAACAATTCCCTGTCTTTTCCAGATCTGCAAGACATACAATCTGTGTTTTTGCGTGATTTGTATTTCTGAGAGAAGAGTATAAATCAGGAATGTAATCACAATAAATGCAAAACTACACATTTAAGAGCCCTCTAGTGGGCACTGATAAATTGTGAACAAATATATAATGAATAGGTAAAATTATGTTATACCATAAGTGTGTAAAGTACATTACAGATTTAAGTACAGGGCTCTCTTTGAAATTATACTTGTTTGATGTACTCAGTTGTAATCTCTCCATCTATATGTCTACACAGTTTTCTAATTGCCTTGCTGACAGGACACTTGAAAGTGCAATACTTGACTTTAGGATCTAATATTGGTAATGTTTCTAATTGGATTCTATCTACCTGTTGATACGTTATTGGGATATTGAAAGCTGTTCTGACTGAATGAAGTACAAGTACATCACATTTTGCTTTTTGCAATATTGCAAGGTGCGTATTTGCTTTTTGCAATATTGCAATGTGTGTTCTGTATTTCATTGGAGTTATATGTCATTTAAATACTTTGTTGGTGTTTAATGGAAGAATTTATTGCTGTGCTTCATGATGAACTGCTTGCACGCACCTTTACCGCAAATGTCTGCTTTTCACGAACTGGTTCCGTTACCCATGAATGATTAGTAAAATAATGAAACAATGTTTTTTCTGAAGAGCTGTTTTTTTTTCCCCTACAGGTACATTGTTCAGTTCTTAGGTGAAAGTTTCCTCGAACCAGTTTTAATGCAGGAATTAACAAACAACTATCTAGAGCTTTACTGTTAGTCTTGTTCTAGAGTTTTTGGATTTGCCTGAGGTCCTCATTTAGGGAATATTACAGTATGCTGAATTAAGACACTTAAGACACTGAACAAATTAAGGAGAAATGGTTCAATGTAACTTTATTTTTGTGATATTTAAAAGGTTGGTCTTGATGTATTAATTACAAGAAACAAAATCTCTTATTATTCTTTAAGTAGCACCAGTTCCAAAATGCTGTAACATAAACCATTTTGGTTTGCTGACCTCCTGACGTGAAAGTTTTTAAATTTTTGCAGACGATATCAGAAACTACAGAAGATAATGAAGCCCTGGTAAGAATTCAGCTGGATAATCACACTGCCTAATACTATTGTTAATCTACTTACCAATTTGCATGTTTGGTTCTGGTACTGGTGCTTTAAAGGAAAAAAAAAACAAAATTGCTGCAGTCTTTTAATCTTCAACTATGTTCCTGTTTCCTTAATAATTTATCAGCATTGCTCCTTATTTTGCATGTGGTAATGGGCACTATTTTTTTCTATTTGAAGACCTAGTTTCTATATACAGAGCAATATGTAATGTGTAATTTCTTTAACTCTGCCGGGAAATGATGCTAACTAACAAAGAAACATTTGTATTACAAAACTCAACACATTACTCCAAAGAATGCAGGGGATCAAATAAAACATATGATTTTACTATGTTGTTTCTGGGGGGGGTTAATAGGTGAGATGTGTTCTTGTCAGTTATCTTGGTCTCAAGTGTAACTTTAATCATTCATGTATACTAGTTCAAGAATAGAATTAATAGAATAAATAGTTTTCTTGTGTAGGGTGTAGTGAACTACTGGGACAGAGTGTTTGGTCAACCTACATAGATACTGCCTTCATTATACAAATTATACAAATACAAATTTATAGATTTATAATGAATATACTGTATAATCCACATTTTAATAAAGGAAATTCATTAAAGAGGATACTTTTAATGCTTACATGGAATTACAGATCCTTGAGTTTTTCCACGCTGTTCTTATGACAGTCATCAATAATGTAGATCATTCCCTATCATTTGTTTTGGTTTTCTTCTAAATTATTTGCTGTAGGATTTTTAGAAAACAAAATCCCATAATTGGCTGTTTGTCAGGGATTGTAAGTATATGAGCCTTTTGTGTATTGGAAAGAGTGTTACTTTACGCCCCACGCTAACATTGTTTTACTGTATAATAATAAAAATCTACCCTGACCATTGCCAGTAAAATTTGAGCATAACAGGGGACTGCTGAATGCATTATTCGAATGTTTTATGTCCTGTGTGATCACCATGTCATTTCCAGCTATTCTGTAACATACAGCAATATCATTTCTGCTTCCAGATCATCCAAATTCAGGTGTAAGGCAACATAAAATAGAAATGTGTGGTGCAACTCTAACTTTCAGACTTTTTACTTTGATAAAGCATGAAATGATCTGCCCACTGCCATGTGCAAAAGCTTACTCACAAAAAGCAGCCAATCAGTACTGGGACTAATTATTGTGTTAAATAAAAAAATAAAAATAAATTGCTGTGTGTTTTAACCTTTGTTGTGCTGCATTAATGCATACATCAAATGTGGACTTGTTTTGTTCTTATTGTTTTAAATCTTTTTATTGGAAACCAATGTAAAAATAGCTAATAGATGTTGTATGTTCAGCTGGTATTCATGTCAATCTCCTGGGTTTGCCACAAAAATATAAGATAGAAAACCGTCTGTTTCAAATGTTTATTTTTGTTATCTGTAACTCTTCATTTAATATTTTAAATGATTTTATAAATGTACACTTGAAAGTGCTCTTTAGATACTATGTCTCTGTCTCCACCTGTATACATTACCCCTTCCTGCATGAATTGGTCAGTATCGTTAGGCGTTTTCATTGAAAATACAGGGAGGGCTTCCCTGATATAAGCACTGGCTCTGAGCACAGGTTGAGCTCTGTGATCTACAGTAGGTGGTGTGAGAGCTTCTAGAATTCATGACACTATCCAGCAGTGACTGGCCTTCCCCAGGTGACGGCTCGCCACTGTCTCAGCTGTCTTACCTCCTAATGAAATAACTGCTCTTCTGGGCGCCTGCAAGCTTTCCCTGATGTCAAGGAAGAGAATGTGCCACTCCTTCAGTGGACACTTCGCCTCCTGAACTGAAACTGTGGAGCTTGCAGAGAGCCGGGAGATGAAAGGTTTGATGGGTGGGTGAGCTCAGACGCCCTCATCTGCTCTTCTCCATTCTTCCTCATTCTCCCTCTCCAGGAGCCAAGTCGTCAAGACGCAATCGATCATTCCAAATTGAGCCGGTGTACAAAATTATACAAATAATTGGCCATTTTTTTTTTCCTAATGCTTTCAAGAATTTCGTTATTTAGGCTCATCTTGTGTCATAGGCAGTGAATGTGAAAGGTGCAGTTGTAGGAACACAATTTTAGAATATTTGGCATTCTTTTGCATTTTCCACAAGTGTAACTGTGGAGAGGAACATTGTCAACAATGGGAAATATGTAAACAATGTAATTATAAAAAATAGAGTTACAGTGCAATTGTCATGTTTTCTTTTTTACTGCTCTCTGTATCAAGTTCTGTCATATAAACTGGTGAATGTTTCCTTTACAAAAATATGTTAATAGTGGCTAGTTATTTCATGTAAAATGCAATAATGCTCTGTGTTAACATGTATTGCTTATCTCCTAATAAGGTTGTTTATATCATCTGTGATTTGTTTAGAATTCATTTCTTAACTTATTAATCTCCTGTTAAGCGTGCTCTAAATTTGAAATATACCCATCCCAGTGGAATGTTCCAGGCAATTGAAAGTAAATGCTCGCAAAAGATTTTTCACTTCTCATTACTTTCAATTAGGTGTGAATTCAATGAGACTCACAGGGTTTCACAATAAAGCTTCAGCACCATATTGTGGTTCCTGACAATTTTTCTATTTAAAGCCCTAGTTTCTGTATACAGAGCTTATTTCATATTACATGTTACATATTGCTCTGTATATAGAAACAGAGAGTTGTTAAGCCTTATAATAATCTTGTTTTGCTGTTGTAGCTAAAAGTACAGTACGGTAGCACCTTAAGGAGATGCAACAAAATTATGTAGAACACGTGTAGCAGAATATGTAATAAGTAAGAACATGAAAAAATAAAGGTGATATAAACAAGGCTTTTGTGAATGCAGTCTTAAGTAGCCTGCTCCTGTGATGTGTATTGTATATTATGGTTATTGGTCATATTCAGCCCTTACAACTCTTGGCCCAACCATAACAACCTCTATTAATATATTTATATGAAACTTGGACCAAGCTTTGTAAGGACAAAATATAACCAGAGAAGTGTGGGGTGAGAAAGTATATCTTAAAACGTCAAAGATCGCTATGCTGCAGAATATAAAATAAGGAGATATGCTATGAAGATTAATGCCTGCAGGTGGCAGTGTGGCCTATAACATTGGCAAGTGCTAATGACACATTTGGCCATGGGAGGTCACTAAACAACATGAGGAAAACAGAATGAGGTTTAAGGATTAAGCAGAAGTTCACTAAGCTTAATACTATTTTTCAAAAAAAGAGGTGATGCACTGTTTGGATTATTGTATAGGTGTACATTTCTAAAATAAATATGGCAAGCATTCTAGGTCACATGACTTGAAAACTACCTTCTAACCAACTAGGTGACATCGTATGTACATTTCCTCATTATTTCCAGTTAACTATATTGTTTGCTTTTAATAAATGAATATATGATAAGTGCATAAAGATAAAATATAGAACAGAAATTGTTTGTTAATTCAGCTTCTTAGGCATCACCATTTCGGAATAAGTTTACTTCCGCATTTTCAGTTGCACTTAATCCACTGAAACACTGAGATCTGCACTGTGAAGTCAGGGGGAATTATTCCAGATTTGAGCTTCCCCATCCTTCTAAGGGAACTCAAAGGAAAACAGAACTTTCAAAAAATGAAGGTGTTTTCCAGTTAAGATGAAATACGAAAAACAAGTTGTGTTGATTGATTTTGGAGGTTATCTAGTGCATTCTAAAATTATTTTCTGCTGAATGTGAAATTGTTTTAAATGAAAATACTTTCAGTCCCAGCATAGAGCTATTTTACACTGTTCAGTTTATTAAGGTTGCCATTTTAAAACAGCCATTAAAAAAACAATAGGGCACCACAGTAGTAACAACACTAATTACAATACACGTTTTGCCATGTAACTGCATATTTTTTGCTAAATTTTATAGTACTATTTTCACTATTAAAGGGTAGGGTGACATCTACATTATATTGCTCTGATCATTATTTTTCCTATTTTAAAACTTTTTTCTAAACAGCCACAACTAAAACAAAAATGGATATGCAATTTACTGGTCTGCAAACATAATTATATACTATGCACTTGAATGGCGACATTAGGAGATACAATCTTAAGTTAATTGTCAGCAGTAACTCAATTAAACATAATCATAACCTCTTCTAACAGTGTTACACATTGCTCAGTGCACATTTCTATAAAACTCTCAACAGCCCTGTGTTCTGTACCGAATCAGAAGTCCTAAGTAATAAGTGAAATTGTTAAAAAAATATTTTTGACTCTACCTTGTGATTATACTCAAGGACTAACCCTGCTTGGATACTTAATTCTTTTGATCTGGTATGTTTACTAATAAGAAGATAACCATGCATGGGAATGCAGGCTGGCTTAATTTCTGTATAAGAATTCTCCCTCCCCCCAAAACAAACTTCCCGCCATGCAGTTATGTGCTCAAATGGCAGCACTGGTCAGTCTTACCCATCTTTTGAAAGCTTGGCTTCCTTGACAACTGCCCCCTTTGTGCTTGGCTTTGCTGCTTTATGTTTCAAACAGAGATGACGCTATTTGCTGTTGTGTTTTGTTTCTTCCAGCTTTGGAGATATGTTATCATTTACACTGACGGCTTTTGTTGAGCTTATGGATCATGGCATTGTCTCCTGGGACACTTTCTCTGTTGCCTTTATAAAAAAGGTACGTGTACTAACAGAGGTCTTGGTACTGTAACTTTTGTTCGACGTTTATCAATGGAAAATGCCTTCTTATCATTGAATAATTTCTGCACATTGAACTAAATCCTCTAAACCTTCTCTTAATCCCGAAAAGCAATTGGTAGAATTTATGAATTGCCAAGATTTTGAAAAGCTATAGAAAGTTGGATTGAAATATACATTGTGGATATGACAGTGCAAGTTCACAGCAGCACATTTAATGTTATAGCCAAAACATTTAAAATAGTGGTAGTTTTCTGTGTGTTAAAAAATTTTTTACACCTTTATTTTTGTATCTTCTTTGTATTTATGAAGTTCTCAGTTGCCTTTTTGCTCACTGAAATGTTTTCTTTGTGAATTCAATTAGAAAAAACAACAGCCTTATTGACCAGCATGGTTTCTGACCACTTGTACTGTAAGTCCAGGATATTTGACTCCAAGAAAACTGCTGGTTTTATGGAAGCTTGGTTCCTGTGTTATTCCCAGGTTTCTATAGCCTGGGATTAGTGGTTGATTGATCAGGAGCCAGGTGTTTTCTGTACAGGAGAGACACCATTGAGGACTGGTTGATAGAAAGGGGAGCTCTGTGCATCCTCAGAGACATCTGTTAACTTCTAGTGAAAGTGCAAAAACTCAAAACGTCCTTTATTCATTTTGAAATGGCCTGCAAGTCAAAACCGTCAAGGAAAAATTAGGCCAGTCATGAATTTTAGAGAAGTCAGTTTTGGAGCCTTGAAGGTAGTGGGCTGGTTTTACTTGGATGAGACCTGAGTAGTATTTGCTTCTGGATTTTTTTATAAATAAAATTCTTACTGAGCTATGGTAATTGATTAATCAAGTGAATATAAAGTTTAATAAAATGGTTAATTTTCCATACAGAACCCCTAATGTTCTTTGTTGTATTTCTTTAGCACAATTATTATTTCAGGCTTGCTCTACAGTGAGAGGGTAGAGTAGTTGTGGGATTCGTGGAAGATAACCTGCCAGCTGTTTCTGTAATGAAAAGCAGTCCTTAATATTTAAGTGTTTCCCCCTGTTTTTTAAAATGCAGATAGCGAGTTATGTGAACAAGTCATCGATGGACGTTGCTGTACTGCAGAGATCTTTGGCCATTCTGGAATCCATGGTCCTGAATAGCCATGATCTTTACCAGAAGGTGGCACAGGAGATAACAATTGGTCAGCTCATACCTCATCTACAAGGGTGAGCTTGTTTTTTTTTTCCATATTCACCAGTAAACTATCTACCAAGTCTCTAGATTTCTTATCCAATGTCTTTTTATTGTACATTTGATTTCATGCACCTTTATGCGTTCAGAAAGTAATGCTGAGTATAAACCATTTCATCATACTATTTTATTCATTTAAAACCACAAAAGGCATGCATTATTTGCGTTGACTCCTGCTGGGATTCTGCATGTTTTTTTTCCAGTTTGCTCCAGACAGATATGGACCTGAATCAGTAATAATAAGCAAGTGAAACCGAATCCCATCAGTAGTGACAATTTGCAGCTGTATAAGATTAGAAGCTCTAAGTCTACACATTTGTAAATAGGATTGGTAATTAAAATACTTTTTAAAATTTAATTGCTGAAAAAGTCCGAAAAGATGTGGCATATGTTCAGTGGACCAAACTTGATTGTAACAACCACTGCAGCCATCTCGTACAACAAGATCAAACTGAGATTTCTTGTAGGATATAGGTTTTGCACATCTTAGTCTGAAGGTTTTGAAGAAATCAGAATTTTATGGACAGCATCCTTAATCCACATTGTCCAATCCAATCCAATGTCTGGTTTCTGTGCTTAGATTTGGTACCAACCATAAAAATGAACTGCTTAATCAAAAAACAATTTCGGCAGTACAAACAGGCAGTAAATCTGTCAGTCTACCAAATCCTAGTTGATTCAGTCATAATATCCCTGTTCCAGCCGTATGGAAAATTACTATAACACAGATATCAACAGTTATAAATTTAGCCTTTCAATGTAGCATCAAATTGTGATTAAATGCCTAGATGAGCTAAGTACTGTACATAAATCCAATGTCTATTCTTTTCTATTTGTTTTCAGTAATTTATTTGACATGCATATGTAGTATAAAATGCACATTTTTACCAGTATTCAAAGACAAATAGATTTATCCTTGCTCGTGTAAAAATATAGAGTAAAGATCAGAAACATTTGGTCTTTTCAGGTTGTTGTAATGAATTTCAGGTTGTTATAATGAATTTTTTATACTGTGCTTAGAAGTTAAGTGGTTGAAGATTGTGACTGAACATTATTGTGTCTTCATTGCAGGAATGATCAGGACATTCAGACATATGCTGTTGCTGTAATTAATGCACTGTTCCTGAAAGCACCAGAAGAGAAGAGACAGGTACCTGGGATTTTATTTATTACCATTGTTTACTGTGTGGGTCAAGCAGAAAATGAATAATGAACCCCAGATGAGTCAACCAATTTACTGCCTCCTAATAAATGTAATTGAATGAAAGGCATGCTATTTTAAAACCTTCATCAATCATTTAGAACTTCTTCACATTTCATCCTTTTAACCTTCTGCTGCTTTGTTAGTTCTATCTTAATAATGCAGAGCTATCTTTAAAGAAATACTGGGAAATATATTATACTGGAATTTATGTCATTCCTTTTGATTCCTGCTTGGCTTATGGAGGTGAGTTATGTAGCTATTCTTCCTTGTATGTTGTAGGTTTTTAGAAGGGATTAAAGTAGAACCTAAGTGTTTTAAAATAATTTTATCAATATTATTAACGTAAGTATTGTAATTGAGTGAGTCTAAAAGTTTTTGGAGATGCATCTGCACAACACTCTCCTGGAACTGTCCCATCACTGTCTGGTTGTTATGAGGAGAGTAACTGTAGTGATAAATATGAGACTTGAAAAATGCAGCTGAACTTGAATATAATGGTGAGGACATTGAGTAAAGATAGACGGTATTAAAATTTAGCAAACTGCAGGTGAAATCTGCAAAACATCAAATGAATATCATTAATACCATCTTGTATTTAAAATGGTTCCCTACTCCAATTCAGGTTGAATGTTTTGGTAGCCTGATTCGTGGAATCCAAATATGCTGTTTTTCAACAAACCTTAACAAATAAGTCATAATTGTAACAATGTTTTTTTATTGCATTATAAATGAATTGTGATTGCAAAGTTAAAAGCTGTAGGAGTTACACTATATCAGCAAAATGCCTTACTGTGTTACCCAATCTAGACTCCATTAGTCAAGCAAGCAGGAGCAACAGACCTATGAGGTAGCAGTATCACCTGTTTGATTTTCATTATCACAAAATTTGGATTTTTAGTACATTTCAGATTAAAGTGGCCTTTTAAGTTGTTCTTTGGTAGGCAGTTATTTTAGCCTCAGGCAGATCAAGTGGCACATTGCACACTTAGAACCTTTTAGCTTGTATAAAATGTTGTAGAAAGATTGTATTAAACTTTCAAATGGTGATAAATGAAATGGTGTCCAATTTCTGGTTTTCAGGTTTCAGGCTGTTTAATTGGGATACCAGTTATTTGTTTATCCATTACTCCCTTTGCTTTTATAGACAGCATACAGCAGTTTGAAAAAGGGTTTCCAGTCTAATGAACTGGGAGTATGCAGTGCAAGTATCTTTTCCTCACAGTGCCATTGATGAAGTCATTTTCACATTGGGGTGTGTCACATTGATAGCCACTGCCAATGGCACACCTGAGCACAGACTGCCCAGTGTGCATCTGTTGGTTATCCCCCACAGTTACCTGATCTTTGGCACAAGATGTTGCACACGGTGAAGTGGAGATCAACCAAGGGCAGCTTTTCAGATACTTCGGAAACATCTTACAAGAAATATACACAGTTATAGTTTTTTTTTTGTTTGTTTCTTATACTAAAATCTTGCAGCTTTTGTTACTTTGAGTTACAACTAGCACATCCATTTTTCACTGAAGATTCCAGTGTTCAAGAAAAGCTTGAATCAGCTCACGTGGAAGTTTAGAATTGGCACTTTTTCCAACAGGCTGGGCCCAAACTTTTCTTCCTCTTCCAAATCCTGGAATTCCACCTTTTTTCTCTGGCGGGGGCTGACGGGCACAGTGTGACAATGAAAGTCTTTAACTCTAGCACTTAGCCCTCTGACTACTGTGCCAGTGCCAGGCGGATTGGGAGACTGGAATTTCTCTTTGGAGCCCTTGTGGCGAAGCTGTGCCACTGGAAAAGGGGATTTAAACCCCTCTGCAGTATTTCCTCTCATAGAGCTTTATTTATTATTAAGTTATGGGCAGCATGGTGGCGCAGTGGTTAAGATTGCTGTCTTGCAGAGCTGTTACCCTGGGTTCAGTTCCGAATCTGGGGTGCTCTTGCTGTGGAGTTTGTATGTTCTCCTAATGTTTTTGCACGGGTTTTGTCCCAAAGTCCACTGGTAGGTGCATTGACTTCTGGGACAAACTGGCCCTGTTATAAGTGAGCGTGTGTGTTTCCGTCTGTGTGTGCGTCCCATCCAGGGTATATCCTGCCCTGCTCTTGTTGCTTGCCAGGATAGGCTCCAGCTCCCCTGTGACCCTGGATTGGATGAAGCAGTTTAGAAAATGGCTGGATTATGATGTCATTATAATAGCAGCTAATTAGCATAGTAATTCATTAACATAGACAAGCAGAGAGTTAACAAAAACGTAGGCCTATAAAATATTGTAAAGAAAAATGGGGGGGAAATTTGCCTAAAAATTATGTATGACATAGCTATTCCTTTAACGATTTACTCTTTAAAAAATTACCCACATTTTGAACCTAGAGGCATTTGGTTTATTCAGAGCAATAATCTGAATGTACTTCAGCAAAGAAAGAGGCTAACTTCCTGAAGGGTCCACTTTTTCCACTTTCTTCACAAATTTCTTTGCTCTAGTTTTAAAGCGCATAATTTACTGCCTTGCCTTGTAATGACTTATCTGGCAGTGTACAGAAGCTCAGCAGTGAAGCACTTGCTTATAGACAGTGGAGTAATACATTTCCCTGATGAAGCTGCCAGCATCCTGGCTTTACTGATGAGAGCTATAAAGCTGTTCAGCCAAGCAGTACTTGTTTTCTTTTTATTTTGGTTTTAGTGACGTCAAGGCAGCTAAAACTTTCTCTACAGGTATATGGTCCAATTACTGTAATTCCAAAAAATTCTACTGTATAAGATAAGATCACTTTATGGGCCATACACAATTTCTTGCATTAGGAATTTGTCTTTTTGCATACCCCACCTTGCTCTCCATGAGACACACAGGCACACAGACAGGGAAAGAGAAGATGGGGGTCAGAACGTAGGGTCAGCCATTTATACGGTGCTCCTGGAGCAGCTGGGGTTAAGGGCCTTGCTCAGGGGCCCAACGGAGTAGGATTCCTCTGCTGGCCATGGGATACGAACCAACAACCTTCTAGCCACAGACGCAGCTCCTTAGCCACAGAGACACCGCTCTGTGTGTTAATGGTGAAATTGTTAAAGGGTGAAAAATATTGTAGGATTTTGAAAGAGGTGGAGAGGTTTTCTTGTCCATGGCGTTTATCGCTTGAGAGGGTTTATCGCTTCTTTGCTTCCTGGGTCGCTTGTAACTTCGTCGTGATCCCTAGCTATTCTGTATATACCTGGTAGACCTCTTCTTAATAGTCTAGGAGTAGAGAAACCTACTTTAAGAGTCAAATGTCTGCTATATATACACAAGGTGGAGACCACTTCATGCCAATTTAATCAGGGCTTATGACTGCTTGTTCCTATTTGACTTCTACTCAAAAGAAAACTGAATGTTAGGATGTTTTGCTTACAAATTTGGAGCATTTTTCAAAAATTCACACCAGAAAGATAACAGCCAAAATAAAGAATATGGATTTAAAGAGATCCCCATATTGGATAATCAATGAGTATAGTATGTCAAAGTTTTAGTGCAGTAGCATAACTATCCCGTGCAGTAATGTTTGTTTGAATAAATTATGAAGATCTAGTTTTGTATTTTTTAATATGATAATCATTCCTAAATTCCTTATTCAAAATAGTTTTTGCTAGTAAGGAAACTCGTTCTTTGTACGGCACACATACAGAGCACTGAACCATTTTTATGTTGAGACTGTTTGAAGATAATAATTCAAAAACGGTTATATGAAAGTCAGATGGACTGCATCAGACACAATCAAGCAAGAAAAAGAAAGTTAATAACTAAATAAACTGGCATCTGTGGGCTCTTTGGATGTAACAGACAATTAGACTTGTGGCACTAACTGCGTTGTTAAGAGTGATATGCTTGTCTTTCTCAATAGGGAGTTGTCAGTCTGTAGTAAAAATATGCCTGCATGCATGATCTTGACTTCTATTTGCTCTGTCATAAATTCCTGTTGGTTTCACTTGGAAAGGCTTTGGGATTTGTTTCTAATAAAAGGCTTTGCTGCTTTTCTCTCTCTTTTTTTTCTGCACGCTTTTCATTAGCTTGATGTGGAGGACAATGTGAACATCCTCGATTGTCCTCTTACAGTAAGTTCCCTGTGAGAACAGTCTCTGAAACTCTTCTGCGGGTCACCTGCTTCTCTTTTCTCTTGCTGTGCAAAGGCTACACATTGCATTTCATTTCAGATCACCAAACTGTATTGGTGTGATACCACAAAATGTGACCAAACTAAAGCTATAATGAGTATGCTTCCTTTAGAAGTGTTTCTTATGTCACAGTAACAATGGTTAGGAGCAGTAATTACCATAAGAAGTGTTAATGCATTTCTGATGTCAATTTGACTCTTTTATCATGTCTGTTGGAGAAAGGACCGTCTCTGAGTATTAATAAAGATACCAGATCATATCAAAAGTGTTAGTATTTTTATTAGTCCTAGATAATTACATTTCCAGTATTTTCCCCATCACAAAAAGTACATGCCCCACAGATTTATTCTGATATCCTATAATAAAACATGCAGTATTGTCCTAGTGCAGTTATCATTCAAGGGATCATTATGCTATATATAAGTTCAGATGTGTATTACTGTTATTATTAGTGCTGTAAGTGCAGTTTGGATTCAGGACTTAACTTTCTTTTTGAAAAGCAGCTCAACTTTGTATATTTAATTTCTCCTTTGTTTCATTAATCGTAACAGTGATGAGTTTCGTGACATACTTTTAATCCAGTGGGCTCATTTTGAGGTTATATGTCAGTGGTTCCTGATCTTTCCCTTTTCTCAATGAAAGCCATAACTTTCTGAGATTAATTAATGATGTTAATTAGTTAACTGAAGGAGGTGTGGGTTTGTAGATAACCAGCTGGCACCATTTACTGTACTTTCAGCTCTTTATATTTTTCTTATTAGTTTATTCCTAAATTCAATACCAACAGTGTGCTACAATGAATCTTTCCCTTAGCTATTCCAGGACACAAGAAAATAACAGCCCTTCTCCTACTTCATTGCAGCCTTTAGTACTATCAGAAATGACAGAGACACTCTGAGTTTTATTTAAATTAAATTTTATGTTATAAATATGTATTCAATTATTTTAAAATATTTAATGATTTAAAAAAAATTGTATTTTGTTTTCAGCATGCATGTGAAACATGAGATTTTACAACTGTCAGTCCTGCACCTTAGCTGCAGGTCTATTTTATTTATCTTTTATTGGTTTTCTTTTATCCTGTGTTAGACTTGAGTCTTCAGAGGTCCCCACACTTTTTTTTTCCTATTACTAATAATTGGTTTTCCTGTCTTTGTAGGAAATGGCAAACATCTTGGCACAGAAGCAGCTCCGATCTATTATTTTAAGTGTGAGTAGAAATTTACTTATCTTCCAGGCTAGAGGTCTATAGTATGTTTAAATTGATGTTCATGCTTAATAAAGGTGGTTAATCATGGTTATAAAATAACTGAAACAGTATATTCACTTGCTTTCAAGTGTTTTTTTTTAGATAATGTGATATACTGTACTATATCTAACAATTCCACGGATTTCTCACTATCTCAGACTGAACTCATTAAGTAAAGTCCTTGTTTTTGTTTTATCCGCAACGTAACTCAGGCATATTGAAACTGGCTGAAGACTGGCGCAAAAAGCAACAGTCTTACATTTTCACCTATTCCTCTCTTGACTGGAAGTAATTCTAGGCTCTGCTTGCTTACCACTGACTATCAAACTGGTCTGTAACAGATAAGATGGAACTGTATTTACTATGTGAGCAGACATCGTAATGAATACTTTAATTTTTACCAGAATTTTAACCATCTCACTGATCTGTATTTTTGGAATATTCAGCAAAATCAAGGGGAAGGTCATCTAGATAGTTCTTCCAGGAGCTTTTTGTACATAAGCAACTCTTGTCTCCCACATGAATCTGGAGCCGGTGGATGCTCTTTCACAGTGTTCCTAATGCTGACCCTTTGTTCTGCAGCATGTAATACGAAGCAACAGGTCAATTAACTCTGAGATGGCCCATCAGCTCTACGTTCACCAGGTTCTTACCTTCAACCTGCTGGAAGACAGGATGATGACAAAGATGGATCCTCAGGATCAGGTATGGCTGTCAAATATCATGCTCTTGTTTCAATTTATATTTAGCCATTCAATGAAAAGACTTTTTTTTATATCTGTACAGAAAGCTGGCAGTAACTTTCAGCTCGGTAGTGTTGCTTTTATGCTTTTGCTTATTGCAAAAAAAGAAACCTATTTCATTTTTGCTCCTTGGAGGTAAATCATGCAAGATAAAAAAGAAATTAAACAAAACAGGAATGCATAACCTTTGGCATTGCACTGGAAATTGTGGGACACAGTTGATAATTGTATTCAAGTGCATAATTAATATGTTACAGCAATCTAAACGTTAAATGCTAAATTGTTTCAGATGCTTAATAATTCTTCATTTTTATCAGATTGTCTTACAGGGAAAAATATTTTTTCTCTCAGGGAAAAGCACTGTTATAACAGTACAACTACCAGCTCGTTCAGTTGTTAGAGCTGTTCTGCCTGTAGAATTAAATGTATGCTATCACTGGCTAGAGAATTTGGAAGATGTAGAGCCAGTGTAAATTCATATACAGTGTAGAAACCAAAGAAATCCTGTTTGTACTACCTTCCCAGGTATGTGCTATGTTACCTTTTCAGGTTATTGCAGTAAAAATTGACAATGATACAGAGGGACAAAAGCTGAGTTCCTGCTTACTTAATTCTTTCTTCTTAAAGTTTATGAAGTCTTCTTCAGACAATATCGGATTAGTTCTGGCTTCCCATTCAACTCCTTCCTTTTTTGATCTGAACCAGCACGAGACTTTTGCAAAAATGCAGTGGAATGTGTGGAGCACAGTATGTTGACACATGGAATGCCTTAATGTGTTTTGAAATTGACAAATTCTTTCCATATCTCTGATTGTTTAGAGTACAGCAGGAACACATAACCGCAATCAGTCCAGGTTGCTGCTTCTTATGAAATATTTGCCTTTTCTTTTCAGGCCCAAAGGGACATTATATTTGAACTTCGCAGGATTGCATTTGATGTTGAGTGTGAACCGAATAACAGCGGCAGCATAGAGAAACGCAAATCTATGTACACCAGGGACTACAAAAAGTTAGGCTTCATGGTAAGCATCCTTGGCGCATTGGTTTTCTCACATCTTCTGTTAGATGTTTTCTTCAGCTGTGTTAGTCTGACTTGTTCCTTAAAATTTTAATTTGCTTGCACGGCTGTGTTTGTAGAGCTTAAGTTAAATAGTTCTTTAAAATATCTACCAACATTCTGTGTGCAAAAGAGATTGGGCCAAAAGAGACACGTCCTCCGTTGTGTAACCTTGCAAACTGACAATAATAGAAGAAGTACTAATAATCACAGTAAGGAGTAGAAATGTCTTCCAAACAATTGTTGTAAGGGAGGCAAGTCGCTTTTCAGGCCATCAAGGCCCATGGGAGGGATGGGGGACTAGGGCCACTATTTTTCTCAACCATCCGACACTGGAGGTGGAGGTGATGTGGTCAGCATCACACTCCGGCCAGCCTATTACCTCCGGAAGGATTAGCCCCTGGTACTCATCTGGAAAGCAGGCTGAGTGGACCTGGGAGCCATCTGGAAGGAATTAGAGCAAGCTCCATCGCTTGCCCCTACGTGGGATTGAACCCAATCAGGAGCTAGACACCCTTGCCGTCTGAACTACCACAGCTCCTGGTAGTTTCTAAGTGACAGATTAATTGAAGCATCAGCCACAAATGTCATGTTCGTAGTGATGGGTGAATCATATAAAAGGCATATTAATCATATTAAAGCAGTGAGAGGTCACCATTATTCAAGAATCAGTGTATTACTTAACCATCTTAAGCATTATACAAATGATTTGCTGCAAGCTGTGGAGAAACAAAGACTGCATATGTCAAAGAGGAGGTGTATAGGTTTGTGTAGAATCCACTGCTTATACTGTATAGTTGTGACCCAAGAATTCTCTGCAAACAGAAAAGGTTTGTGTTAGACCTGCAGCAAAGACGACAATAATGATGAACATTAAGAATGCAGGAGATTCTGTGGTGTTTTTAAACACAGTTGTGCGTGTGATTGTCTCTCATTGTTTTCCTACCCTGTTTGGTATTTTAGGTGCTCTTGACTAGAGGGCAGTGTAGCATTGGTTTTTAATGTGTGTGGTAGAACTAGCTAGGGATTTTTTCTGTGTTGGGTGTGGTGTTATAAAAGCATCAATTACAAGTTTTGGTTGGTGAGACAGTGTATGATAGCCTCTGACACAATCTTGTTTACTATGGCTGCCCTGCTGAGGGTACCATTGTTAGCTGTTGTCAGAATGATTGAGTGCCCTTCACTTGCTATAGATAGCTTCATAATGCATGACCTACTTTGCAGCTTTCATTTACTTTATTTTGCATCACTTATATGCAATATTTTAAGTATCCACAGTCTCTCTGTGGCACAGCCAGACACTGCGGCAAAATGTGGAGTGCACTGTAAGTCATTTGTCATCAGTAAATGTTAAAGGTGTCTTGCCATATAAAGCAAGCAGAAGTATAAAAATTGATAAAGAAGATACAGAAAATATTCCCTTTATTCCATTGTGTTAATTGTTTCATTATTTTGATCATGCTTTTCAAATAGGCTCTATAGCCTGAAAAAAATCAAGCCTTAGACAAAACAGCACTTTATTGTGAACCAAGAGGTTGTCAGCTTCACTTCAATTGTTCTCTTTATCAAATACAACTACCTAAAATATGATATTGTGGCGAAGAGAGTGTATAGTTTTTAGAACTCTGTTTTTTTTTATTCTTCTCTCTTCTCTGTACCTTCCTGTTCATTTAATCCACTGACCTATTGTATTATTTTGAAGGAAAAAAGTCAACTCAGTGGTTACTGCATTCAGGAATTAAAAACAGGACTGAATGATTCAAAGATCTGCTGGAAAGCAAACAATGCTGTTACTGTTAATTTGTACACTTGCTGGTCAGTTAGGAGCTCCCTATGTCTTATGCCTGTATCTGGTGAGACACAAATATCTGCACTGTGTATGCAATCACTTTTCCAAAAGAACTAACGGGGTTAAGCTGCTCAGCGGTTTAAAACATCGTAAGCCAAATGTGAGATATTGAAGGAATAGAAAATGAGAATTGAATTTTTTGTTGTCCTCCAAAACACCTACATTCCACTATAAATAAGCGAATTATACAACATTGCATAACCAGAATGAAAACCTCTTTAATTACTGACGAGAGCTCAGCAGGTTATTTATTTTATATCTTGAAAAAACATTTTTGAAAAAGTTCAGAAACAAAATAAACTCTACAGTTATGGAGCTTTGAACTCTAATCCTGTGGAATGATGTAGAAGCCTTTCTTGCCTTGAGTAATGTGGTTGCTCAGGGTTTTGTTTTCTGATTATAAAATGCAGACCACTTGGATTACCATCATTGTTGTACAGTATTTTTAGCAGAACTCACTTTTCAAGATGTTAAGGAGACAAGCAATTTATGTGATGACACAAAACATATGATATATCAGTATTGAGAAAATCCTAGAAAGCAGTAAAACAATTAAAAGGCACATGATGAGTCTTGGATGAAATAGGGTGACTGTCATTTTGTAAATTAAAGCATTCATTTATCTTTTCTAAAGATATGACTTTCCAAAGAGTATTCAGCATATTTTTACTTAATTCAGCAGGATTGTTAAATCCCGTCTTAAAATAATCATATATGACCCCTTCAACTTCTGTGCTTTTTTCTTCTCTCAGACCTGTTTCAGGACATTTAAGATTCGGACACACAAATATAATTAATACATGTTACTTCTCTTAATGTGTGGTTGAACTCTGAAATGACAGGGTATTTTCTCCATGATCATTTTGTGAGGAAATTAAATGAAAAGAAAATTTCCTTTAGTAGACCCTCATCCATGGTAATTCTTACAAAGTTTCTTCAGGACAAAATATGTACAGTACCATCTGTCTTACATCTCTAATGGAGGCTACGGCTTCCTCAAGCTTATACTGATTTTTTTTTTTAGATGTTAGGTGAGCTATTCTAAACCAGGAAGCTGACCACAATTGCTTTGACAGCACTTTCTACTTAGTCTGCTACAGAATCAGAATGATCAGAGCCCATTCATTCTCTGCCCTTGTACCTCTGTGCCGGAATGAACTACCCTTAGAAATTTGAAATGTTCAGGCCCCGACTACTTTACAGCTCCCGTTCAAGACTTGTCTGTTAAGACAGCGCCTATGTCTAATTCTCCTCACTGAATTACATTCTTCAATCACTCTTACACTCTGTCTCACTAATGTAATGTGACTTGCGTGTTGCACCTATTCGGTGGCAACAGGAACTATGTACTCTTAGGCTGTCTTTCATCAATTTGCTCGACCAAAGCATTTGCATTCCACTTTCAATTTGTTTCGGTCTTGTTATTATTTTGCAAATTTGTTCTTGCTGTAATTAAATGATTGTCTCTTCTACTTACCTAAAGTAACGTCAATATATAAGTAAGAAGCACTGGATAAGGACATCTGCTACGCAAATGAATGGTTTCCGATAAAAGGTCAGCAGCAATTTCATTGCAAGTTAGAATTCCAAATTTCACTGCTTTTAGAGGCATTATGTAATCAGAAGGCACAGAGCTGACAGACTACAGCAGACAAGCCTGTAGCTGTACCAGCAGGCCATTTCTGGGCCATGGTATGGAGGCGTATATGGAATGGAAGATGAGAGATGCTGTACTGAAAAATCAAAATCAATTTGTCCTTTCATGAGCTGCAATGCTCGTTTCTTGTGGAAATTGTCAAACTAAAATGTCTAAAGAAAAATTGCTTTCTGAAGGCATTTTCACTTTCCGTTTTTCATCTTTTGTTTTCTCTGTGTGTATGCGGCATGCCATCCGCTACTTGTCATTGGTAAAAGCTCGACTAACATTAACAAATTCTTCTTAGCTGTCTCCTCAATAAGTTCTGCAGGCTGATGGTAGCCAAGAAGAATTTCACGGCTCTGTCTCTGATAAGTCATATTTTGTAGTTCTTTGTTTTAATGTGTTTTTTTTTTAAACCCTGTGGTGCACATTTAGTAAGAAACAGTTTCAGGCCAATCTGTGTGTTGATATACGCTCCTCAGACATCTTCCTGATATCACTAATCACTCTTTGTGTGTCCTGTTTAATTTGCCTCTGATTCCAAAACAGCTGTCTAAGGAATGACTTGCAGGGAGTCAAAAGCTCTGCACAGACAATCCAATTTCAGTCTTAATCAGGAAGACAAGCGTGCAGAGCAACTGCCTCATGGAAAAAGTTTGCGTTGTGAATTCAATTCAAATTCTGTTTGTATCAGGGCAATTGGTTTTCAGGCAGAGGTGATGTTTTCTCTACAAACCTCTTATACAACACTTTGTACAGAAGACTTGAAGCATTATTTGTTAGTAACTGGTAATGGGTACAAAAAGGGAACTTTATGATTTAATTTAAAATGTTCAGATTTTGCAGCCTTTCAGTTTCAGTGGTTTGGTGAACTTTTATGTAAGATTACTGTTTACAGCTAGCAGATCATGGAAAATTAAATCCCTCTAGACACCCTTTTTTAAATCCCTACAATGGCATTGACTCTCGTTAGTAACTAACACATAGAAAACAAGGGTAGAAAGTAAAGTGGCTGTTAAATAGAAAGAAGCCACAAAGTCAATGAAAGCCTTAAAACTGGACCAGATTCATGATCAACTTTCTGGAAGCAGTAATTCTGTCAACTGACAGAATAAATGTGTCTCTCAGCAGGAAGGACATACTCCGTTGTCCTGTTGGAAGGTGCACAAAACTTATGTGTATGTGAAAAACAATTTTTCTCTCATGATATACGTCTAATCACTGTCACCCTAAAGACAGCTATTTGTACCCGGAGAGGCATGTGAAATACCATCTTGATGTAAATAATGCAAATAAATGATGATATGTATGGATACCGTGTATCTATGTAGGTTAGAAGGAAATATTTTATTATTGTAGTGATTGTTAGCAGATGTCCTTATCCAAGGCAACTTGTAATGTACAGTGTACAGGTATATGGAGATAACATTAGAAAAGTACAAGAATTAATTATTTCATTCTAATAAGAATTAACATAATAATTAAGGTTAGCATGCATTCAAGGATAGAATAGAGAGCCGTAAGGACACAAGGATACTTAACTCTACTTAAAAAACTGCAATATTAAAATTTCCTGTCATTTGGTTAAGGACATTCACAAAATGAATGTAAATATTGCCGTCTTACATATACTTAGGTATTATGTAGCTAAAAGTGAGTTTTCTCTGTGTTATTGATAACTTAAATAGTACACAATTAGATGATAAGAACTCTTTTTACTTTTTTTTCTTATTTTGGCTTGATCCAGACTTTTAATTTTACAGTAAGACAAATGAACCAATACATTTAATTTTCTTGTAAAATTAAGTGATCTTTAATGAACTCTTGTTACAACTTATTGCACTTATTAATGTGTTCCTTACTGATTGAATTTACTTTTATTAGTAGTCTGTGTTAAGTGTTAGACTAAATATTTTAAGAAGCATCACGTTTTACCTGTAAAGCTAATAAGGGCAGTCAGTTCTTCAGTGGTGTTGCACATACAGTACGGTACATGACATGTAGCAAAGGCTCTAAAAACATGAAAGAAAGTTAAGAGGACATTTCAGACTTTTGTTCTTAACATGATTGTCATTTTAGCTGGGATGTTCTGACAATTTTTGTTCTAAAAATAAAACTGATGTTTTCCCTTGTTTTTTTAACATTCTGCAGAAGAACAAGTAGCTAAAACCTCACCATCATTCGTTATGTTTTCCGATAACACTGTTGTCTTTAGCAAACATCCTTTTTCTACCCAGTTATTTACAAAGGAGTTATTACTACACATCACTGAGAAAAACCCTAGAAAATGTTCTGTCTTTTATATTTTGCCTTTCCTACCTGTGATTAAGTTTGAGCAATTAGAGGAAGAATTAAATGAAGAAACATATCACTGACTTGTTAGAGTTATACTGTATATTAGGAATTTTCCAAATGCTGAGTTATGATACTGCATAAAATGATGTTACTGTTCCTAGCAAACATATTCAGATCATTCCTGTTAGGGTCCCATTTTGTGAAATCACAAAAAGGTGCAAGCACATTTTTTAAATTAAAATTGTATTTAAAACGTGAAAGCTCAAATTGAAGATTGAAGGGTAAGTTAAGTAAATGTCAGCAAAAACCAAAGAGAGAAATTCAATAAAATGAAATATTTTAATTGCATTAGCATTCAGACCCATAAACTCAATATTTGGTGGGAGACTCCTTTGGCAGTAATTACAGCCAGAACTTTTGCATGGTATGGTGCAATTTTTAGTCATTCTTCTTGGCTGATTGGCTGAATACCAAGTTGCTTGGGAATTGCTTATGGACAACAGTACTCAAGTCATTCCACCGAGGTCAGAACACTGGCAAAGCCACTCAGTGACATTCACTTTCTTCTTATTTTTAAGCCATTCTAGTGTAGCTTTGGACTCGGGTTGTGGTTGTAAGTCTTCAGCAGGTTTTGAATTTTTCCCTTTACTTTGCTCTGTTCATGTTTCCTTCAGTCTTGAACCTTAAATTGCTGTTATTGATAAAAAATGTGACAATGTATGCAAGGGGCTGAATCATTTTGCAAGGCACGGTACATGTTCCATATGCTAAGTTAAGTAATGTTTGAAAATAATCCCCGTTGTCTGAAACCTGTTTTGTCCCGAGCCGTGCCCCACCTTCGCTCGGCCTTATTCTCTGCCTGATGCAGAAGTGCCACTGTGTTTTATAGCGGATTAAAATTGAATAAGAGGAGGACAGATGGTGACTAAAACATGCTTTTACTATCAGATTAAGAGCGGCTTGTGAACACTTTGGTGGGGGCTGGGGATGTTGTGTTGTTTCTGGTTTTGTATTCATTTAATTTTTTTTTCTCCTAGAATCATGTCAATCCAGCTGTGGATTTCACTCAGATCCCCCCAGGAATGTTGGCTTTGGATAATATGCTGTACTTTGCCAAGCACCATCAGGATGCCTACATTCGGGTAAGGTCTTGCAGCATGCAATACCTAATATATTATAATATTAATCATAACCCAAACTGTAATCCGTCCCCTTATCTTAATCCTGATCCTCCACTTTTGCTTGCTGTTTGCTTACCTTGATTTGGTGCAGAGAACTGTTGAAATTTCTTAAGTCTACCTCTGTGCTGTCACATAATGTACTGCAGTTTATCGAATGTGTATGGTTAAAATAAACAAGTAACCCACGTTGTATGGTATTTAAAGTTATAATGTTTTGGCTTTAAATTAAATGACATTGATCAACTAAAAGAAACAGCAGTAATCGCAAACCTAGAGAAATCCTCCTAAAGAAACCACATGAATCTCTTCTCTGCATCCAGCCTGCACTTTTTCTCTGCCTCCATGAATAGTACGCCCCACTGTATTAAAATAGGCAATAAAACTGACTATAAAGTGAGCCTGTAAAGTTGTAACCAGCCAGTCATTCTCCATGGTGCCAACACAGAACAGGAAGTGTTTGTTATGATCCAAAAACAAGCCCATGCTGAGATGTGGATACTTGGGCAGGGGGCAGGGAGAGGCTCATCATTAGCTCGGTTCACCTCATGATCCTGGCGCATTGCGCTGCTAATTTGAAAGCTGCACTTGACAGCCTTCGGCATGGATTCATCCCACTCTGCTCTACTTCCATACAAGACCCCGTCATGCAGGCCAGATTGGGAAAGTGCAAATTTGTGAATGCTAAATTCACAGATGTCAGTACCGGACTGTACTTTCTTTCAAGAACAACCTGCTTTAATTCATTAGAGGCTTAATTAAAAACTTAAATCTTCCAGTGTTGCTTTCATCCTCAGACATCTGCCTGCTGTCGAGATGCTGAAACAAGAGAGAAATTAATCTTGACCGTGTGGTCTAGAATCATACCTTTTGCCTTTTGCCATTTCTGAGAAACTCTTTATATTGGTTAACCAGATAGTCTTCCAAAATGGTGTCTCTGTGTTGTAACACAGAATAAAGCTCAGAACAAGGTGCTGTCGAAGTTTTTTTTTTGCATTAGACATATCCTAATGCTAAGATAGGATACTTTCATTTCAATGTAGTCCCTATTTTTTTTACATGCTAATTTTTTTCCATTTTTGTATAAAGCAAACAGCCAATGGGCCACATAATAGCCTTCAGCCATGCTACGCGGTACCTTAGTCACAAATGGACGCATGATAACTCTTTTCCAAAGAAGTAAAGTACTGTAAAGACGCTCTGGAAACAATCATTTTTGACAACATGGTCCGCCAATACTTGTTAGTGTCTTTTAGGAAATTAAAAAACAAATTCTTTGAAGTTAAATGGTTTTAAAACCCCAACGGGAACATTTTGTACAAGTTCAAAGTTTGTTTTTTTTGCATAAAAACCCATTCAGTATTGTGACGAATTGTGTACATATGCATGCATTCAACATTTTTAATTCAGAACTTGGACAATAGACTGAAGATAATGAGAACTGGCAACAGAACAGAGAAGCGCATTAACCCTTGGCTCTCCCCCAGGACTCCTGAAAGTTGGGAACTCTGCCCTTATGTATCCCCCTTATTAGGGGAGATGACACTGGAAGAGAGAAGTGTTGGATCACTCCGGCTGTAGTCCTCACTCAGATGTTTATAGTGACGAAACTGATGTGCAGTTTGCTGGCGCAGAAATGGAATGTAGTTTAGTTGGAGCCAGGATACCCAAATTGTAGAGTTAACAGTATTATTTTAACTCATGCTATGAAGAAAGGTCAGGGTTGTGATTTGGTGTTAATTTTTCCAATACAAAGCATCTATTTGTCTTGGTGACTGAACAGTCTCTGCTTATTATTCCTTATGTTTTAGGCAGTGTTGAAAACAAGAATCAAATGAATGGCATTTAGTGCATTAACAAAAATCCTGTTGACTTCACAACCCCGAAGACCCTGATACTTACATTTTGCTTAGTTTGGGAATCAACTTACAAACACAATGGCTTTGGCAGTTTAAATTTTGCATTTTATTTATACTGAAGAAACTGCTTATAGCTGCAGCAAATATATTATATGTGGACTTGCTGCAAAGGATCAGAGAAAGGCTAAACAAAGGAAAATGTAAAAGGTAAGCCTAAGGAAAGTGCTTTGCTTTCTAAAAATATTTTCAACGGACACTGTCACAGGCTGGTAGCTTGTGTGTCCGCCAATGGAAACAATAACGTCACAATATGAAACACCATAGGAAGGATATGAATATTCTTGCAAGGCACAGGTCCATGCTTAGTGGTGTACATACATCATTAATCTATACCATTGTACTTTAGTGAGTGTCCATGAGCACAGTAAATGATTAGAGTAGCAGATCACAATTAGAAAACAATTACATATTAGTAATAATAATAATAATAATAATTGCTTACACTTATATAGCGCTTTTCTGGACACTCCACTCAAAGCGCTTTACAGGTAATGGGGTCTCCCCTCCACCACCACTAATGTGCAGCATCCACCTGGATGATGCGACGGCAGCCATAGTGCGCCAGAACGCTCACCACACATCAGCGATCAGTGGGGAGGAGAGCAGAGTAATGAAGCCAATTCATAGATGGGGATTATTAGGAGGCCATGATTGGTAAGGGCCAATGGGAAATGTGGCCAGGATGCCGGAGTTACACCCCTACTCTTTTCGAGAAACACCCCGGGATTTTTAATGACCACAGAGAGTCAGGACCTCGGTTTTACGTCTCATCCGAAGGATGGCGCCTGTTTACAGTACAGTGTCCCCATCACCATACTGGGGCATTAAGACCCACATGGACAGCAGGGTGAGCGCCCCCTGCTGGCCCCACTAACAACTCTTCTAGCAGCAACCTTAGTTTTTCCCAGGAGGTCTCCCATCCAGGTACTGACCAGGCTCACACCTGCTTAGCTTAGTGAAGAATATGTTCTACTCTTTTGGCCTGAATTAAATACAATTGTCTGCCAGCAGATGACAAATGTTTTTTGTGAGCGTGTTAGGTTTGACATTTATTTATGAAGTGACTTCTTGTACTTAAATATTTTATTGCATTTTTTAAAAGACTTTTTAAATTAGTCCATGGAGAATTTTTAGCTGGATTTATCCAGTTCTCAATAAAAGGACTTGAGTGATACTCTCTTTCTAAAAATTAAATAAATTGTAATTTTAATATTTAGTCTACAATAACATTTCATCTACTGTGCCTGAGGTTGACAGGTTGACAAGACACAATGAAGTTAAATGCAGTTTCTTAAACTTGCCTGCCCATTATTAAAATATAGTGTATTTGGTTAACTGTATCACTGTTTCATTATCATACTGTACCTGCTTAGAAAAGCTCACACCACAAGTTCAGTACAGTATATGGAAAAATCCATTTCATTTTTCTATATCTTCTGCCAATGGCTGCCCCAGGCTGTTTTCAGTGATAAAGCAGAAGGCATCCAGTATTCTTTAATAGCTATTTCGATTGTGATTCCTTATGTAGCCATTATAAGATCTGACATTTTTACAAAAGGAAATAAAACCACTTCCCTACCAATATGATCTTCACAACTGGCTACGGCTTTTTTTTTTAGGTTGAGAAGACAATATTTTTAAAGCTGTTATTATTGTATTTTCTTAAAATGAAGGTAACATCATTAGCACCGATCTTGCCCAAACACTTAACATCTAAAATAAGTGTTTATATTAATTATTTAACAGGCCTGTGTTTGCTCCCTGAAGGCAGTATACAGGATAATCTTTGTGGGCTTTGATACAATTATGTTTTCTCATTAACTGTTTAAGGAAATGTTTATTTTGCTGTTTGGTCATATGTTTGAAATTGAGGGTTTTACTATATGTTGAGAAGAAATGTATAAATTCATGACATTGTTAATTTAAGAAATAATTGTGTTAGACCCATTAATCTGCAGTATAATTTTTAATCACATTTATATCGATTTTAATACATTGTAAATATATTTGATTTATAAAACATTTATATATGCCAAGTGCAGCCTCTTATCTAAAGTTTTACTCATTTGTTTTATACAACATGAAGATGTGATACTGGTTTCATAAAAGACAACAGTGCTGTTATACGTAAAGGCTTTATCTTGTCCATTTGTCTGAATGAATGAGCAGAATGGTTACAGCAGAATTAGAAAATTCTGTCAAGATTAGTAAATATTTAATTGACTGTGGCATTGAGACTCTGGCCTTTAAGACTAAGATGGCTTGCTGTTAGGTAGCATAGTGATATTTGGCTTTCATCACATTTTCCAAGATGGAGATGTTTAGCTCTTGATTTCTGATCTGTTATTGTCAACAACAGATGACAAGTATTAGACTGAAAAGCTCTACATGAATCAGATATAAAGACTTCAGGTGGTATTTTCATTAAAACCAAGTAGTCAGGAAGCTTTAGAAATGTGATGTATTCCTGACATTCCTTTTTGTGATGCACCCTGTTGATTCACGCTATGACACAGTTCCCAAAGGCCCAATACCTTTTTAAAATAATTAATGTGATAATATTTGGGTTGCCTCAAGAGAAAATCCTGAGCTGAAGAAATCTCATTATTACTTAAGTCTGTGTGATATTTTACATTTTTAATCATGAACCCAGTTTAACCTTACATCTTATTTGCAAACGAAATGCCTTTTCAGAATTTTTCAAACTTATAAATGTTATGTAATTCAATTGAATGATGACTAGCCCCTGAATGAGTAGATTAAAGGAGAAAGATTACATTATTTTCTAAAACAGTTTCTCTTTCTTTGATACGAGTTATTCTTTTCATGAACGTTTTTTTGGTTTATTCTTAAGATTTGTATGAAGAAAACTGACATTTTCTCATCTTGAGCACAATGGCAGACTTACAAATCTTCACAAGTGGCACAAAATTGTGTTCATTAATCTTTGGTAGTTAGCATGGGGCATATCTTTGCCGAGCTCTTTATACAGCACATCACTTATACACATTAGGAATTCTTATTTCAGCAGAGGGTTTAACTTACAGCTAGTGCTTATAAACCAAGGCCACATTAGTATTATTTCAAATCTGAGAAGGTAATTAAGAATAGGCTTCTAGTTACATTTTTTGCGATTATGCACAGGGTGAAGGTTTTTCATCTGTGATTGAGTTTGAAGGACACCATGTATGATAGAGGCATCAATTTATTATTTTTATAGTGTACATTGAACATTAGAGTTAGTTATTGACAGGCTAATGGACTTTCTTTAACAATGGACTTTGACCGATAAATTAAATCACTCCACTTTTTAATTGAAATATGTCTCAAATATAAGCATATGTCGCAAATATATTTAGGTGTTTTGACAGTACATTTTAAATCGAGAATACTTCCACAGGTTTGAAATGTAAGTGTTTCTTTTTCATGTCAATGGAATTTTGCGATACTGTCAATTCATTTATTTTAACACTGAGTTTTGATAAGTGGTCTGAGTGGTTTGAGAAATTGTGACTATAGTTCCCCTTTAATGCTGCAGGCCACAAATGGCAAAATGCAACATGGATATTTTAGGTATTACCTTTATATAACATACAAGAAAGTCCATTATAAAAGAAAATTGGTAACAGTCTTGACCAGTTGAATATTGCAGATTTATCTAGATGTGGACTAGGGACAGGCTAGCCTATATTCAGCTCCTCATTACAGTTAAAACCAGATCAGGTTTGTTATCACAAATTTGTAGTAGTACAGTATGGGGTTTGGAAGAACATCAATACCAGTGAGACCAAACAAAACTGCATTTTCTCTCAGGTGTGGTTCAAGAGAAATCTTTGTTTAAAAATATCAGTAGGGGGATTCATACACTTTATGGATTAAGTTGGAAAGTACCAACTGGCATGTAAAATCACAAATACCACAATTTATTTGTAGGATCAGGAAAGAAGAAACAATTTGTAATGCAAAATGATTTTACAGAAAGAAGATTATACCCCTAGAGGTGGTTGTTGTGCACAAAATGGTGACATATTAGTGTTGGAAACCATCTTGCTCTTGATATCGGTGCCATCTTTTGGCTGCTTATTATGCTTTGAACTGCTTTCCAAATTTGATTTATAACTGTACCTCATTCCTATACAACATGATGGGCATTCTGCATTTTCCTTGAGACTCTTTCATTCTTTTTGCTTCAGATTGTTCTAGAAAACAGCAGCCGGGAGGACAAACACGAGTGCCCTTTCGGCCGAAGCAGCATTGAGCTCACCAAGATGCTTTGCGAAATCCTCAAAGTCGGAGAACTACGTAAGTGTAAATTATCAGAAATGTGGGGGCATTTGAACATAGATGGGCCTTCAACCCATTTCCAGGTAATCATTAGCATGGACAGTACCTTGCCTTGATGCTCATCTGGAAAAGCACTGGAAGGTTGGCTGTTATGTTCCAGAAAAAATGACACCTTTAAAAAGTAATTGCTTTAGTTGTCAACTTGTTAGTTGTTCTGTTAAGAACAAGCTTAGAGGTGATCTGCTTTTTCAGCTCATGAGTCTTTCAATGATCCCTTAACACTAGCATGAAAGTAGAATGGTGTTAACATGAATTCCAGTTATAGCCATTTTCCTGATTCACTTAATCCTCTTCCCCATATCCTTTCTAGTTCAATTAAAGTTTGGGGCTTAAAAACGGAACCATCTTCTGTTAAAAATGTTATTTTACTGGTTTTAATTAGTCTCTGGTTAAAAGATCCCTAATGAGGGGACGGAGGGCAAATATCAATTGCAAGTTGTTTTAGCTTTCTTTCTCCTTTGTAGGAATTGAAGAATCCAGTATAAAATGTTTTTAATAGTAGAAAAAAATCAGGTTTGTGATGTAGTGAGAATTGTTTCATCTGTTATTTTACTCAGTTTCACCCTCCTCAGTGTGTCTTCTTAGCCATTAGACTGGAATAGCATTGAAATTACATTTAGTGATATCTCTTGTGGAAAGCCCACTTGATAGCACAAAATTGCATCAGGTGCGCCAGGGGTGAGCCAGTAGTTACTATAGCAAAGTCATTGCATTATAAAGAAAAATAAAACCTGAAGACCATTTGGCAGACTGTAAGAAAATACTAGCACATTCAGTGTCTCATGCTGTTAGGATAAAAGGGTCTATTATACAATTCCATTGGATTCAGTCAATAAATAATTAAGCGAGCCTAATGTTAGCCTTTTTTCTCCTAAGCTGCATAGTTGATCTGTATTGTCAAGGCAATGGGTGTTCAGATAAATTGCAGATTAGAGTCAGTCTTGGTCACCTCTGCATTAATCCAGCAATTATCTGTATGTCAATGTACCTTACACCTATCTGGGTGTTTGACCGATCCCTCAGAGCCATGTGGAAGAATTTATGATCTGTAAAGGGATTCAAATTATTGATTGAATGTCCAATTTTGTCCTTGTTACTAAGAGTAAAGTTATTTACTTTGTTTTTATGAAGAAAATAAAACAGTTTTACATTGTCAGTTCAAACTGAAAGAGTTTTTGCCGTGAATGATTGAAACATCCTTTTAAGAATAACTAATTAAAAACGAATCATGCTATCCAAATGTTACAGTAAATGTTACAGTAAATACCGTACATTTGTATTATACATAATTATGTCACAATGAAAAATCTTTTTCCAGATATAACCATGAAGTGTCAAATGCTCTTTCACTAAGAATGTTCTCCTAAAATATTTGTCAGCCACATAACTAATTTTGAGGCATAAGATTTAGAAGCCGTGTGGTTTCATAATATTCAGATACTAATATAAGAAAATCCTTTTCTGTCACTCTGCTTTTTAACATTTTATGACTAGAGAAATAATTTGTACATGATATACTCACTAAATACTTCAGTAAATGATCCTTTCTGTGCATCTCAAAGTCATACATTAATGAAAATTCTTTATGGCTGATTTAGTTGTGTAAACATTAGTTACTTATTTAGTTTATCTAGTTCACTTTATTATAAGTGAACAGATTGAGACATGGTTCATGAATTTTAAAATGTATGCCAAAGACTTCATTAAATTATTCTGAAATCTTATTAAATGGTATATTAAAAAGGAACGCATTCTACTTTTCAGTAAACCTATGCACATTTCATTCCTAAGTAGTCCACCACATTCTACTGTTCATCACAAACAAAATGATAAGGGACTCTGTTTGAGATTTTTTCATTATTATGTAAGGGTCGTTAGGTCATTGGTGTAAATGTATATCTGTTGTGTAACCAAGAATCTGTGATTTTGCTGATACAAGGATGTTTCTGCCCCTGTAATATTTTATTGAGGTTACAGTATTTGTCTAGTATGACTTAATATCAGTAAAAAAAGAGATTTAAATTTGCATATTATTTAGATTATGCTGTGAAATATGGTCCAAAATGTCTATTAATAAGCCTGTTGATTAATATATCCAGAAGCTTTGTTTCTGTTCCCTATCTGTTCAGTGACAGATGTAAAGCCAGAGGAAGCTTTGTGCTTCTATAACTGGCTGAGAACTCGGTTATAGGTGTTTTTATAGGTATTGTTTGAAATAGATTAAATTATTAAACAAAGAGATGAATGCAGTGGTGGGTTACCTAATTTATCCTAATGAATAATTTATACGTTGCAGCTTGTGGCTAAATTGTAGAGCTTTATTCCTGGCTTAACCACACCTAAGGAGAAACAAAACTGGAACATATTTTACTAAATAGAAAAAAAAATCTTGAAAAACTCCAGCCTACCTTTATGAATACTGACTGAATGCCTTGGGGGTAGATGTTTCCGATTTTCTATTGTTTGCTTTATTTGCATTTTTCAAATTAATTTGCACCCACAACTCTTATTCTGAAAACTGTCATGGGAACTAACCTCTTAGGTGAACATCTTTGACTAATTAAACTAATGATGTCAGAACTTCAGATAATGTTGCTTCTCTAGTTACACTAGTTATTTCTGGGCTCTCATACTGGTGCTCTTTTAGAAGCCTTAGCCTCAAAATGTATTGATTTCCTTGACACACTGTCACTAAAAGTTGATTGAGCAAAGAAAATATGCGTCAGCATTTTTCTGCGCGTTCAAAAACTACAAGAAATATAGAAATTGATTAAACATTTTTGACAGTTATTTTGTTTATACACAGTATTTTTTAAATTGGAAAGTCTTTCTGTTTCTATACAAATACTAAATACACACTCGTATTAAAAGACTTAAAGACTTCTAATTAGAGTTTATTGAGGACATTTATATTTTTGGAGGCTCCTGTATGTTGTTCTGACATGTACAGTATATGCTATGTAATGCCATCAGGTGTGTGGGATCCTTGAGTTGGTGGAGCTCTTGTTAGCAAAGTTAGCAGCTGAGTGGAGCTTACGAGTTAATGAGACTCAGCTATGGGAGGTCTTTAAAAGCCGGCTGAGTACCCCCCTGATTGGAGGTCAAGCCGGGCTGTCAGTCTCAGGTTAGCTTCAGAGTGGAGTGGACATGACAACAGGTCAGGTCCCCCCTTACAGCTGTGAGAGCTGCCGGGCTAAACGCAGCAGGCTGCCATGAGCGTTACCCTGATGAGGGGGAAAGGAGGTAGCAACGGGCATGGAGGAGAATGGGAAGGAAATCATTATTGAGATCATTGAAGGAACCCCGAATAGGAGAGGGTTTTCAACATCAATCATGGAGGGGATTGATGTGTAGAACATGAAAGGAACCCCAAAAGGGGGAGTAAGAGCCAGAGGACGATTCCAGAGGAGATTAGGAAATGACAGGGGCCTGATTGTTTATAGGGATGGCAGACTGTTCTGGTAAGAGAGAGCAGGGCTGTCCAGGGAGTGCTATTGTGAGGCGTGTGCCACAGTGTAAGGTGGGGTAATGGGGTCCTCCCACTTGGAGAGAGAGAGAAGGCTCAGGAAGTGGTTATGTGGTGGTGTTTGTGTGAGGGCACCACTGATGGTGATAACCTGAAACAGATATACAAAGGCAAAAAGAAACTGATGATGTTGGTGCGGGAGAGGTTCGGTTGACGGAATTCTGTCTCTTTCTTTTTACTTGAGCCTGCCTTTGTATCCTTTTTAACTTAAAAAAATGAAAATAAAAAAAAATCAGTAACAGAGCCACACCGGTATTATATGTGTATAGAACTGTTTAGTTCGCAAAAAAAGAGAAAATTGTCATGTTGTGGAAGTTTGTGTGTTTTCTTTTATTTGTATGAGAGAGAGGTTAAAGAGAAAAAAGTTTTGGTTTGGTGGAGAGGAGGGAATGAGGTATATGTGTAAGAACAGTAAGGTGTGGGCATCAGTAGAAAAGGGTCTGTCTGTCCACTGGCCTCTGGCAATGAGTGGTCCAGAGAGCAGGGGTGTAGTGAAGGGGCCCTCACTCTGTAAATGCAAGGCATAGAATGAGAAGATGCATCAGGTGGAACGGTATGAGTGAGTAAAGTCAATGGTGGCAGAGCACGAGGGAAAGATGTGCCAGCAGCTGGGAACGCACAACCTGGGACACGTGAGTGAGGCATGGGAGAGCTTCTGTAGGTTTAAGGTGACTGCGTATTGAGTCTGAGCATCAAAGTGAGAAGAGCACAAAACGTTACGCTGCCAGGAATATCAGATTTAAAGACCATCGGGGCACACAGTACAGCATTTAGAAATGGATTGACAGTGTTAAAACAGATTTTCTTAGACCAAAGCAATAAACTGCAAGTGTTTTGTAAATTTTGAAAAGTTCGCATGGGCCTCATCCTCTGTTTTAATATAGGTCGGAAGTGTGAAGGCAGCAGGTGCGACCCAAGTCTCATTTTGGATTTCTTATTCCAGTGGTTCTGCTTTCTCTTGGGATTACTCTGATATGACAGCAGTTGGGATCCAGGTGCATCTCTGCTTCACTAGGCAATCTTAAGTGTGTGTGTTGCTAAAGCATCTAAATATAGGTCAAACGACTGCATCATGGGACATACAAGCTAGGGATCGGTCTTAAGAACTCAGGAATAGAGGTGGTCAGCAAGAATTTCTGAGTCACAAGAGACTCAGGCTACAGATACTGTACACATTTCAGGATCCCTGAGAATCAAGAAATCACTGCACAAAAAATAAGGATAAGCAAAAAAAATAGTTGTAACACTGGTGCACAGATGCCAAATTAGCAGTAATTCCAAAAGACTTTCTGAGGCAAAACTGCAGGATTAGAGTATTGCTAAAGCAGTATTTTCGTTCACAAAATGTTGCTGAAATCGATCTTTATTCATGAGAATGTAGTGCAAATGGACCAGTGCTGTGTTAACTACTAATTCATTCGAGTAAGTTTTT